CTGCATTTTCAAATAATTCTATAGGATTTTTTTTTTCTTTTAATGCAACGGTACAGATAATTAAGGAAAGGCTGAATATCAGGTCCTGTGCAATCTCGACCCCTACTTTATGTAGGATCATGATATCAAGAGGAAAGTGACTAAAGAATTCGTTATAAGGTCATAGATGCATTTTTTAGTGTTCATTAGTGTCTTAGTGTACAGCTTTAGAGAGCTTTGAAAAAGTGATGTAGTCCAATGAATGTATTGTACTGAGAAATTTCATTTTGTTTTTCCCTTTGCTGCCCATCTTATGTCCAGCATGCGGGTCTGATTTTCTCCGGCTATGATCAGCAGACACTTGGTGCCACATTTACTAAACCCTTTACATCTAAAATCAAGCACGTATTATTGATGAGCTATACACATCATCCTCAGCTCACTTATGAAAGATGCAGTTTGTCTGTGATGAATCCATGATGGGCTTTACAAGCACAAAAGGATCCAAGTCTGATCTTATAACAAATAGGATGACTCCCTGTACATTTAAAGACCCCATGTATATTTAAATCTTTTTTTTTAACTTCATGTGGTGTTTTTATTGTGCTAGAAGACACATAATAACCAAACTAACTAGTCAAGCTGCAGTGTACCAATAACAGACTTGTTCAAGCAGTCAGGTTTTCATATATAATTAACCTGAAAGGAACTCATCCTGTCTACATGTAAGGTGTGTATTCAGTTGCCATTGTTTAGCATAGAGTGGTTCTACAGTGTTTCAGCAGAGTTGCAGGTGAGCTGGTGTACTCGAGCTGCAGGGATCGGTGGAGGGGAGGGTGGAGAAACAGGCAGGGCACATTATATAGAAAGTTACTCCAAGCCAATGTAAGGCATTTGAGGGGTTATTTTCATGGGACAAAGCGTCTAAATATGTAATTTGAATGAACAAAGATGAGTTTCTGTCTGTTCCACGACCAGAGAGAAACTTTAAAGCTTCCTCAATAAAAGCTGTGGTTTGACATAATTTACAAAGATGAAGGAAACCACAAGTAGCTTTCAGCCTTCTGCTCATGATCTGTAAATGACCTTGTCATAGATGAAGTGTTCTCTTGCGTTTAACATTTAATGGAAATGCTAAACTGTTTGGTGAAACAGAAAAGTCTAATTAGATGCACTCAAACCTGGACTGCCAAATGCAATAGAATACAGATGTCACACTTTATGAAACATAAGCCAAATCCAAAATATTAAACTGTATGGTGGGTTGTGGTGTTAATGAACAGTATAAATGCATGATGGGACATTTTACTGTTACTGTCACTGTTGTCGACAGGCAGTTTTTGGATACTGTACCACTAGCTTTGGTGCTACTTTCTCTGCGCTTCATGATGGCACCTACAAACTAACATGTCGGTCTGTTTGAATTATTGTTTCATCCGGTTTAATTAATCCAGATTTTGATCTATCTGAATTTTTCTTCGCCCACATAATCTACTTCATTGAATTTTTTATTGTCATTTGGGTCATCTAACCATTCACTGACCATCCTATAATATTCCTGTCCACAGCAGTTTCAGGGGTAATGTTACAGCGGTACTGTGCCACAGGGAAATCACCTCTGATATGTTAATACCCTCTGATCCGGAATTGCTGACACATGTCCATATGAAAATATGAGCTTCCATTCTACTAAGTGCATGGACACACTGATAAATTATCCACATAGTCCATTCCCTAAATAATATTAATCAAATAACTGCTGATTCAAACCTTCACCGGCAGAGTGGCGTTGAGTAATGATTTCACCAACATGTTTGGTTTGTCTTTGTGTCATTGGTGAGATGAGAAATATGTTTAAAGAGTCAGTCTGGCTGCCCTGTCAGCATCTTTTACTCATCTAAGGGTTTGGTTGACTTCTGAGCCCACAGGCTTTTTGAAGAGTTCTTCACAGCTCATTGAACACAGAACAGCAATGTCAGGTGAATGCGTTTTTCGGTTGTTAAGTCAAGCGCAAAAATTGTGCCTGCGGATGGTGCAAATCACATCAGAAAGGTGAAATAATTGCAAGATTTGTTTTCACAAGCTAAACAAACTGCAGATTATAACCAAATTAAGCCACCAGGTACTAGTAAGAGATGCTTACGGCAGAATATTTACTAACTGGGTACCATCACTCTTCCTGTCATACTAAAAGCTTCTTCCTATGTGATGTCAATAGATTAGCACAATACAAGTCTGCAGTCCTTTTTGTTTATTAAAGACAACTAACAAAGATTCAGATAGCCATCACCAGTGCCAACAGGAAAGGAAAACACTCACCTGCTGTAGGACAAGTAGAGCACTCACTTTTTTTGAAGTTAGGCCTGGATTTTGCTTCGATTGCTGTCCATTTATGTCATAGCATGAAGTCCTCCTCACCTCTGTAATTGGATTGTCTTTCTCCTCGTCCTCCCTTCTTTGGTCTTTGGCACTTTTCCCCACAACTGTCCAGAATGAGCGTGAGAAAGAGATGAGAATCAAGGAGGGATAGTTGGGTTTGGCCCATAAATAGTAGGGGTGGTCTTCCAACAGAAGGAGTGTATCCCTGGACAGATGTATGGAACAAACAAGGATGACTGTCTTACAAAGGATGAAGTGTAAAAGGGGGTGTGGTTAAGCAGTGATGAAAAGAGAAAGACCCATGAGGCAGAATGACGGAACAAGAGTAGATCACAATCTCTCCTCCATCCTTTGGAAAGTCTTTCCTTTTATCTGGTCCTTGACTGTAATGGCCTCAAACAAGAGTTACAGAGAAAAAGAAATTCGAGAGGACGGCTGTGATAATAACCACTGCATAAATTGATTGTGAGATGGGAAATTAGAGGACAAGCAAGTAAATTTGCGTCAGCTGTTCGTGTGCGGTGTGCCTTCTGGGAGTGCTCTCGGCCCGGAGCAGCAACCCGCTGTGGCAGATCAGAGACATGCTCTAGTGTCTCGGCCATATTATGTGAGCACGACGGTATACGCAGTCGCATGTAGGTTTGGAGGAACAATATAGCTCAAAGTCATTTGTAATGCTTTAGATTGCTGACCTTGGCAACAAATGCATCCGGCTGTCTGTCAATACTTCATAATAAAAGCTTCCCAGCAGCAGTGAAAAGAGTGATCAACAAAGCCGGGTATATGTTACGTTGGACTACATGCTATGTACTGTTTTCTTTTGGATCCTTTGTGCATGTGAAAGCAATTTGAATTCAGGCTTGTCGCTGACAATCAACCCAAAAAACCATTTGCTCCTATCATATTCTTACTCAATGTGGGCTCATCTTTCACAGCAATATAAAGTCCTGCACCGCTAAAAGCTCAGCCATGGCTAGAGTAGAGCACAGTATAGCAAAGTTAGAATGCCATGAATTATAAAAAAGAGAAAATGAAAGTTGAATTTCTTTCATTACTTATTTAACAGAAAAATACATTTAAAAAACAAACTGACACTAATGCACATTTTCCAAGTGCCCACAGGTGTTATCAATAATGGAAAAATGGAGATTCTACACACTGAAGATACTCTACAAATGATATTTTTGATTTGTTCTCGTACTTGTCTCCTATCTGCTCTCTGTGCTCTGTCTGCACAGCCTGCAGTTCAGCCAAGTTTAGCCCCTTAAGTTTTGTTTGTTGATTTTTTTAATTGACAGAATCTGGTTAGTGCAAGAATTAATTTTTGGTATTATTTTATTTTTTTCTTTTTACTGAGACATGTATATTAATGTCATTTTGATGACATATCTTGATTTTAAGCTTAGATGTGGTTAAGTTTCCTGACCAAAACACACTCCAAAGATGAGTAGCTCAGAGACCATCGGAAAATGTGTGGAAATACTGTCTTTTTTTTTTTTTTTTTTTTTTTTTTACAGTTTCTGGCTCTGATACCTGGTGTTGTTTTGTCAATTTTGTAAAGACAACAGGCCTTTCAAATCCACTGGTGGGTTTTGGGGTTCACAGTGTTAAAACTACTACATTGAGATGGAATTCCATAATGCAAATGGCTTGAATGGCTATTGCTGAAAAATGCAGACCATAGATGGTAACAAAAGCAGTTTAAATCATGAAACAAATATTAAAGGTCAGCAGCCGGTACGATCACAGATCACATCAGTTGTTTCAGCTAAGAATATAATACCTGTTTTGAAGCTGCTGATTGGAATTTGGCAATAAGCAGAACATGCTTCAAACTGCTGCTAATGTAGCCAAGTATAAGCAGAATTATTAGAAATCTCATAAATGTTCAGTAGTCAGACGTCACCACTTTGAAATGTTGGCTCTCCTGATAGTTGTTGGCTTTGTCCATATATATAATTAAAGAAACAAGAAAGGGTGATGCTTGCCCATACTTTTTATATATATTGAAGGTCTGTAAGAAGAAGTGCCAAGTAAAAGTACCAGTTTTTGAAAACTTCACATCCAGGAAGGACAGTGCAATAAATCCTGCAGATTTATCGTTGGGTTCACCCTGGCGTCTGTTCTAAAGGCTCTTGGCCAAGCACCCAGATATGCCAAAGGGGTCTAAGCATGACCTCATAGCATGAGACGAGAGGAATGCACTGAGAAGTGGTAGCAACAGGGAGGCTAAATATAACCAGATGCTCACTTTGAGATCTGCTGCATTGTTGTTACCTCGGGTAACATTTGTGTATTTCTAACTGAAATGTGCACAAGAGAACACTCGCACCTGGCGAACAACCCAAACAGTCTGAGGCAAAACGTGCAGTTGCCAAATCAGTGCGCCAGGGGTCAAACTAAACAAGCGGGGTGTTGCCTCATCTTAACATTATTCATCAGGTTACAAGTTAACGCATAAACCGAAATGAGCAAATTTGTACCCTCGGACACAGAAATTGCTCATCGTACTCTACGAACGCTTTACTTTTTTCCTTCATTTCCTTTCTTGTCCCTCACCCGACCTAAATGTACTACAGGATGCGCACACGCGATCTCTTTTGCAGATTTTAATGCGGAAATTCACCCTCTTTGTTTTCCAGATGCATCTGAGGCAGAGGGGGAGACGGAACAAGAGCATCAGCCAACAGAAAAAACCAAGACAAAACCGGAGAAGAGGAAGAGGGTAACAGAGGAAGCTGTTAAAGCCAAGAAGAAGAAGAAGAATAACGAGCAGGTTGTTACATCCTATTTGTGTAAATGCTGCCCATTAAATGTTTTTACGTGACGCAATGTGATGCTGTTAGATTAAACAACATTTTTCAAATTAGGGACAAAGTCTGGCTGCAATGTGTTTTATGTGGTAGAGTAGTAAAATCTACCCATGTTTAATGCACCAGTGTCACATATAGAACTAATGTGTGTTTTTGCACAAATAAGTGATCATCAGAAAGTTAATAATAAATTATAATTAGAAATTGCTTAGATTATGTTTAAAGAACAAATGTCAAACTTTTTCTTATTTCAGCTTTATTTTTGCCTTTTTTGTTCTATATATTCGTTAAGTAAAATATCTCTAAACTAGACTTTTGATTGGACAGAACTAGATAGATGGAGACAGCAGGAAGTTGCATTTGTCTGCATATTCAGACATTAAATAAACAATTATGTAAACATAACTCCGATCAATCAATCGTAGAAATAATCACTACTAGTTTATTGTATTATGTGATTGTATTGTAATGTTTTTAGATGTTGACAGTGCAAGACATTAAATACACATGACAGAACATATTTGTAGCCCTATATCTGTATTAAAATTAATACTCTTCAATATCATTTATTGCTTATTATTAAGTTTGTAATTAATATGCATCCAATATAATGTTTTAGCAGTATCATATATAAGTAATTTGCCTGAACTCTGTCTTCTACATGTACTTTTTTTTAACAGAAAGCACATGTAACTCCTCCAAAGACAGTGACTGAGGATGAAAAATCAGCGAAGCCCAAAAGGAAGAGGAAGGTGAGTGCGGCGCCACCTGCTGTCACAAAGAGGGACTGCTGCATGAACTATGCCTCCATGCAGCGGCACTCACTGGACCGTGACTGTGGATATTTATTGCATATATTTTGTTTTTCAGAAGAAGAAAACGATTACAGATGTCTTGGCCTCTTCTGAGCCCAAACCGGGCTGTCCAGCTGATCTGCAGGCTCTGGCTACGCAGTACTTCTCAGACAAACGCTCTGTGATCGAGCAGGAGGAGCTCAAATTGCAGAGTGAGTCAGAGCGAATCCCCTTTAACTCACTGGTTCCGTCTCTATCTGCTGATCTGTTGACTCACCAAGGTCACCGTGTGTCTCCTCGCATCTTGCAGACTCCTGTTTCCTGTCCAGCAATGACCTGACGCACAGCCTCTCCTCTTATCTGAAACAGGGTGAGTGCTGTGCTGAACTTTTGAGGAAATCTCCCATTAGCAGTTTACTCTCTAAGCACACATTTCATTCTGTTTTTCTCAGTTTGTCCCAAGTGGGCAAAGATCCAAAAGCAGCACACAGCGAAGAGCTCCGTGGTTCTGCTCATCGTCTGCAGCTCTGCTCTCCGAACCATTGAGCTCATCAAGTAAGTGACAGAACTGTAATGTTTGCTGACTTTCCTACATCACAGCTTTTAAATTAGAATTAAACGGGTGTCCTTTCTAATGTATCGTTCCCAGGCAGCTGACTACTTTCAAGGGTGAAGCCAAGGCGTTAAAACTTTTTGCAAAACATATCAAGGTAAAAGAGATGGCAGGTAATCATAGTGTTGCAGACTGTGAACCATAATGAGCTTTTACCAGAACACTAGTGTGTGTATGTCTTTTCTTTGCTCAGGTGGAGGAGCAGGTAAAGCTGCTGCAAAAAGGCGTCACCCACATTGGAGTCGGGACACCAGGCAGGATCAGTGCTCTCATTGAGAAAGGTGGGTGTCGATGCGATGGCCCCTCTGGTAAACTTCAAAGCTCTGGAAGTCTGCTCATTCAGATTTTTCTTCCCCAGATGGTTTGAACTTGCAGGCGTTGAAATACCTCATTCTGGATTGGAACTGGAGGGACCAGAAGCTCAGGAGGATGGTGGACATTCCTGAGGTGAGCTACTGCCCCCTGCTGGGCTTAAAAGATAATCATAATCTCATTCAGAATTTCCTTTTTTTATGGCGAATTTAAAGCCACCCTCGGCATTAAAATGTGTTTTGTGGATTATTAGTTCACTTTACTTTAGATTTTTTTTTTTGTTAAGAAAGCTTTATGAGCAGAGTTTGTTTTCACAATCATGATCTGATGGGAGGAGGTTTGTCTGTACTCACCTTAACTCTGGATGTACGATTAGTCAATACATCAATAAGTCTGAACCCAAAGCATCTTCTTAGCATTTTTTGCTCCTGTCACATTTTCACTTAGTGTTTTCCTCATTTTTCACTGTAATATGAAGTCCTACACATTTGATGGCACAGCACAACCATGTTATAATGCCTTAAATCCTTAAAAACAACTAAAAACACCTAAACACTTCAATTTATTTGATTCTGTACATTCTAAAAATGTAATAACCGAGCATCACGTGACACACCAACAAAAACAGATTTTACCAATCCTGGGAAAAGAAGAAAAAAAGTAACTGCATACTATAGATTTTTCACTATTCTTTCCATATTTATCTCATATCTGCACTGTGTAAACAGAACCTGCAGTTCAGTTGAGAAGTCCGTAAAAGTTTGTCACATGATCGTAGCTGAGTTACTGAGTGGAGGTTTTCTTGTTTCACCAAAGTGCACCAATTTTTTTATTTTTTGTTACAGAATCTTGTCCAAGCAAGATTTATTTTTGGCAACTTTTTTATTGCGATGTGTAGAATAAAGTAATTTTGTTCACATATATATATTTTATACATATAGCTTTGATTGTTTTTCACAATGACACTTCACTTCTCAGAAGAAGTTACTAAACCAGACTCGGGTCAATGGTGTCATTTTGGCAATTTAAAAAAATAATAATATTAACATGCCATCACAGGAAAACATTATGAAACATTCCTCGTTTAAGTTTTGAAGCAGTAATTACCAAACTTTCTCTAATTCAAGCCCCTAGTTGTGAGGATTTATTTCTTTTCTTTATCTTATTTGTTCATAAGCTGATTATCTTTGAGGTTCAGCTGGTTGGTCCGACAAAATAAAAAATGATGCTTTAGGAAACTGTGACATTTTTCACTATTCTCTGCCTTTTTTCTTTCTTTTCAGTGAAGTAAGAGTGTGTTTGGCAGTTTAAACTTTAAAATTAAAAATAGTTGTATATTCCTCTGGGTGCTTTATTGAAGAAGAAGGAATTTGTGATTTTGTTTTTTATGGAGAAAAAAAAACATAACAGTCCTTTGTTTTTTGCACAAACATGTCTCCAGAGGATGCTCAGTTTTCTTTTTTATCAGTGACTCTACAGTCCACATTAAATTTGTCTGTTTCTTTCAGATCAAAGTGGACTTCATGAAGCTGCTGGAGAACGGCATCCTAGCTGGCTGTAAAGAAGACAGGGTCAAAATTGGACTATTTTAACATTGTGGATTTGCTTCGTGCTGATAATCCACATGACAACCCGATGTTTTAAAGCGACCTACTGATGTTCCTCGCAACATGCTGAGGGGCCTCTTCCTGTTTGTTTTCCCTTTGTGTCGAGCACAGTGTGAATCCTGCGTGCCGCCTTCAATATTTTCAGAGTCTGTGTGAAATGTATGGCGCTGTTTGTTCGCTCTTGTAGTCCAGCGCAATCTGCCAGTGGTGATGGATTGAATAAACGGACTCAGAATGAAACCCACATCCTTCTGTTTGTTTACTCTGACCTTGGGAAGTCCCTCCCACTGAGAATGTGAGGTCATGAGTTTACTTGCCTACCAGGAAGTCCCATGTATCATAGCATCCTTTTGATAAAGCATCGTAGAACAACACGGAAGGGCCCAGAACCAGCATATTATGTACGTATTATATCAGAATAAATACATAAATAACTCTACGGTATTGTTTTGATGTGAACAAACAAAAACCTGTATGTTGTGGGAAGCAAACAGAGAAGAACAAACCACAGTCGTCCAAAAAAGTGGAAGTAACAGAAAACAGAAAGAGGTAGTTAAGCAAAGGATTGTGGTTAATAAGTAACAGGCCACAACGGTCTCCCCCACCCTGCAAAGCCTGCTGGGAAAATCTCTTGGCAAGCAGAGCGGTGCGAGTGTGTGTGTGTAAAGGGTGATATCGCTGACATTAAAAAAACAGGAAGAGAAGATAGCACAGCGCCTCGTCGAACGCTTTTCTTGAATCTCCAGCCGTCCACCGAGTTCCTCTTCTGTCCCCGGCCGAAGGTCCCTCTCATGGGGAAGGACAAAACCAAGTCTGGGCCCCTGGCTCAGAGGCCCGACAACTCAGCCTTCAAGCAGCAGCGGCTCCCTGCCTGGTCTCCAATGCTAACAGCTAATACTGTACTGCCTTTCTTTTACTTTATGACTTTGATATGTTTGCTGCTGGGAGTGTGGCTGCTTCTCACTGTGCAAAGCACTCAGGAATTAAAGGTGAGTAAAAACTGCACTTACTTTTAAGTACTGATTTTGAAGTCCAGGAATGCTTTGGTGTAAAATGCACAAGGTGTGTGTTAGACACAGAGAGGAAAAGCCTAAAGGCCCTCGTGTGCAATAAAACAGGGAGTGACAAAGAGAGGAAAGATCCAAGGTTGTGTTTGGATAAAGCTAATGAGAAACAGTTTATTGTCAATTGATTCTGCTGTTGAATTCACACTCTCTTGTCTTTCCAGCTGGACTACACAGACGCCGGGGACTGCAAAGTGTGTTATGAAACGCGTCTAAATGCGAGCAACGCAGCTCAAGCCTGCAGCTGTACGAAAGAGTTTCAACTTAAAAAAACATTTAAGGTAACAACTCCTTAAATTTGATGACATACGTGGACAAAATAACCTGAACTTGAGGACCACTCGCAAGCTTTTTCCACAGACCTAAGTGACACATGGTTATGTGGCTGAAAGCTCTCAAAACAAATTGGAAGTGGACCTTGAATTAAGACAGATTTGTCAAGATCAACATTTGCTCTCACACCAGTGCTTTTATTTGTTGTTTGTGCTTAAAGTCAGACTAGAAATTGGCGTTTCCACAGCAAGCCGATGATGTGAAATGTGCTTCTGTTCCAGGGAGATGTCTTTTTCTACTATGGCCTCCGAAACTTTCATCAGAACCTCCGCAGGTACATGGACTCCAGAGATGATGCACAGATGGTCGGCAGGAAGAAAAGTTTAAAGGTATTTTCACAATAATTAATTATCAGTTCACCATCTTGTACATTCTCGTGGGTATTTTTATGCAGAGATAAGCTGTGACAAATACAGAACGCAGAAAGTTTGGTTGAAGGTTTTCAATTCATTTACACGAAGCAGTACAAGTAGTGCCAATCCTACACTAAACAGTAAAAATATCATCAGAGAAATATGCCTGAAGAATCAAACACAACAGCAGAATGCTCCCTCCCAGTGTTTGAATAGTACATGTCACAGTACTTCCTTATTCCCAGAAGCAGATGTGTACTCTATGTATCACTATACAGGCAGTACACAAAGTTTTTTGAATATATTTCCATTAACCAGACATCAATTTTTATAACAGCAGTCCTGATAGGTGGAGTTAAGATGACGTATTTGGGGGGTGTGCACCTCCGACTGTATGTATAGAAGTCTGATTTTGAGATCTGGGTGGTGCCTGATGTTTTAGTTGTGTTTGATGATCTCAGAACGCTTGGATTTGACAATTTTGAGAAACCAAGATGTGATGTTGAAAAGAAAAATGTCTTTTCTAACATTAAAACTCTCGAGTTTTCTCAGGAAAAAGAGAAGCTGCTGGGTCTTTTTAGTACCAGTGTGCTGGGAAAAGGACAGGTTCAGTCTATCTAAAGTTAATAAATGAGTCTATCTATAGGGCGGCCCCCTCCTGCTCCAACATCTTCTAATTCCTCTAAAAGATGCTAATCTCCACCCAAATCACAGCCCTTTGGAGATGTTCAGCTCCAAACGGCCCTCATCCATAATAAGTGATCAGAAAGTCTGCTGATATGTTAACAAAAGGATTCATATCATAGACCTTTCACACAGCAGATATTTTTGATTTGGCGCAGTAGGGAAAGCGCAGATGTATTAATGATGGCTGCGTTCCACTTAGCGGGGGGGGGCTGCTTTTGTGCTTGCTGGTTCACTGTCATAGCTCACTGAGATGCATCGTGGAACCGAGCCATCGTTATTCGTGTGTGTGCTTTTCCCACTGTGACAAAACTACTAAGGGCCGCGTCGTCCGAACAGTCTGATGGTGTGACGATGGAGAATGGATCAAAATATAAGGCAAACCGTCGACTGATTTCACGCAGCATTTTCATGTTGTTGATTGAGATGAAGCCGACTTTAAACACTGATACTGGGTTTGTTTATTTTTTTTAATCACTGCAAATAAACAGTAACTGCAGCTGTCAGATAAATCTAATGGATAATAGGTGTCTACATTCGATGCACTCTGGTATGTTTTTAAGGAGATTGCATTTTTATCTAAGTACAGTGTCTAAATACATGTGAATTCTTCCACTAGACCCCCTCTTCATATTGCCAGCCGTTTGCAAATGATCCAGATGGACGCCCTATTGCTCCCTGCGGCGCTGTAGCCAACAGTATCTTCAATGGTAAGCACAACACACACCATCAATCCTCACATCCTTCCTCCACCTTTCCTCTCACTGGACTCCTAACTCCCATGTGTCCTTCCAGACTCCTTCACTCTGACCTACCATGGCTCCAGTGGTTCTACAATTCCGGTTCCTCTTCTGCGGAAAGGCATCACCTGGTACACCGACAAAAACATCAAGTACCGCAACCCAACCACAGAGAACTTGACACTGGCTCAGGTGTTTAATGGTAACTACAGACGTAACCTGTAAGCGTGGTTTAATTTGTGTCTCAAGATGTTCGGTGATGTGCTGCATTTTTGACGCTCTCTCCACAGGCACGACGAAACCTCCGTTCTGGCAGAAGCCAGTCTATGATCTGGATCTCCTCGACCCGAACAACAACGGCTTCATCAATGACGACCTGATTGTGTGGATGAGGGAGGCAGCTTTCCCCAACTTCAAGAAGCTCTACGGGGTTTTAAACCGAATGAACAAACCCTTCACGAATGGGCTTCCAGCAGGGAACTACACCGTCAAGATATCCTACAGTATCCTTTTACGGGTGTTGGAGATGCCTTCCTGTGGGAACTTCGGGGGCGGTTGGTAACACATAGGTTGCTCATGTCTCATTGTTCTTTGTCTTATCTGCTGTCGAACAGAAGCATATGGACAGGGACTATTTTAAGACTACAGGCTGACTATTTTCCACTAAGCTTGTCTTTCTGGTCACCTATTTTGAGCCTTGACCTATTGCCCTCTCAGACTTTCCTGCGCAGTACTTCCGAGGCAGAAAGGAAGTGGTGCTGAGCACGCTGACCTGGTTCGGAGGTCAGAACTACTTCCTGCCCATTGCTTACCTCGTAACCAGCGGCCTGACCCTGCTGCTCGCCATCATGCTCACTGTGGTCTGGTGGAAGTTTGGAAAGAACGGGAAGAACATGGAGGAATGAAGGGGTAAGAGGTGCTCCAGGATGCAGAGCAGTGACATAATGGAAAAAAACAACAAGTCAAAAGCAGATGAAAAGTGCTAATCGTCATGCTGCTTAGGAGCTGTTTTAAAGAGACAACAAATCCTAAATGACAACACTGATGTGAGCAAATGAAGGGTAAGGAGAATGGTTAAAGAAAGAATGTTAATTTGGTACAATTTCACAACAGCATGTGCAGGAAAACCAATGCAGAACTGAGCCCGACATCTGGAAAATTACTTTCCCTATCAACTAAATGATCCACATGTGTGACGGCTTTTTATTGTGATGATGTTGCTCTGAACAAGCACTTGTGAAAGCTGGGTGTGTTAACGCAGGGTTTAAGCTTTCTTTACTTGATTTTACATTTGCATTTTTTTGAAAAAAAATACACACCATTTTGTTTATGCACTATTAATATTTATTGATATGATTGTATCACTGTATTTATTGTGATTATTTTTAATTGTATTAAGTCCAGTTGCAGTGGGAGTTGAGGCTGTATTTTATGTCTAAGTAGATGCGAAGTGGAAAAGCTACACTTTGATACATGCCACATTAAATACAGAAGTCAGCCCCTGTAAGGCTCTTTATTAGATTTTAATTACAGCACAGTTAAGGTTAGCTATTGCAGCAAGTATGGATTTTATGTCAGTGCTGTAGGTGCGTGAAATCATGCTTTCATAAACCAGGACTAAGAATTTACAGCCACAAGAGTTTTTAAAAAAATTATTAAGTGTCTGATCACCATATTAGTTTAGCATGTTAGCATGCTAATATTTCCTGATTTGTACTTAAGAGTACAGCAGAGGTTTGCTGAAAATATCATTAGTTTTGAAGGAATTTTGTCATAAACCAAAGTATTGGTTTAACTGCAGTTTTGGCAATGGCTCCTTTCACCAGTGAGTGTTATTAGGGGAACACCAGCATTATTCCAATTTGTCCTGAGAGGAACATGAACACAAACTTTCATGGTAATTCATCCAGAAGTTGTTATTATCTCATCCCAGACTACAGTGGGGACTGTTAGAGCCGTTGTTGGAGCTTTACAGTTAGCATGGCTCAAAGTTAAACACTATGGTAACAGTGGATGAAGACGGAAGTGAGTTTAATTATCACAGAAACGATGATAATGCCAATTAA